ATCACACTAATCGGGCCAGCTAACATATCACAAGTTTAAAGGAGTTGGTCGCACATGGGTCGGCGCTTGTTACGATCATCACTCTGACTCATGATCGGGCAACTCAAAGTTAAAAATGGTAAACACAAGCATCCAAGATTGTACTTGAGATAAAGGCTGAAAGGGGGATGACACTTGATGAATGTACTGTCCTTTCAAGCGTTATTGTTAGAAGGGAGGGACTACACTTAAATTTTACAAGGTCATGCTTGGACCTTTTAATTGGATTCTTCTATTTAAATGATACATTGTGTCTGTTCAGGATGAGGGAAACTCTTATAAATATGTGAAATTGTACAAAAAAGGAAATTCTTTGATTCTTATTCCTCCATTAAGGAATTTTTTAGATTATTTTTGTCTTTTCTCATGGAATCATTATTCCTTTTTCCTTTGTGTGTGTTATATTCCTTGGGTGTGGCTTGAGGATACATTTGGATTCAACACCTTTGAAAAGATGCATCGAGTGTTGAGTCATGCCACAAATAAGAAGATGAGCAACACAAGATAAAGAAAATATATGTGAGAATGCAAGTAATATGGATTGCACTAGAAACTTTGTAACCCAGTAGATCTAATAATTTAAAGATCTGGCGAGAGAAATTATTTGAGAAACATTTCAGCATGAAACTGACATGTTACTCCAACAGGTGGTTCCCACACATCAAATATCTTGCTTGATTGCAGAAAGAACATTTTCCTTGATGCCAAGTGTGGATTTATCACTCAGATAGTGCCAGATTTCCACCCTGAGATCAAGACAGAATGAGGCGCACAAAAATATGGCAGCCATCCCCTTGTAATAATTTCTCTTAATGAATCTCTAAATCTGAAGCTCTTGAACAATTCAAGATCCCAACTTTTGAGTCGTATTGAGGGAAGACTGACCCGACTGGTCATGTTGCCTTATTTGAGTTGATGGTGTGACTATTAAGGATAAACCATGCATTGAAGTGCCTACTTTTCCTTATGATCATGAAGGAGTCCACAATCTGGTGGTTTAATAACTACCATCTGAGTAATCACTTCATTCGCTAAGTTTAAATGGATGTTCTTGACACAATTTTTTCTGTAAGCAAAATCTCCAAAAAAATTCTCGAACATTGCTGCAGTTGTGACAAGAATAAGGTGAATCATTGTACGCATTCATTGCCAGATTCTAGAGGGAATTATTGAAAGTATGAGATTTGGAACCAACGATTGCACATGCGGCCCTTGCCCAAAGGTTGAGAAAAGGTTTTTTAAGGTTTGCCTTAGGGTGGTGGCAACGATCCAAGTCATTGACATAATTGTTGGAGCTTACCAACGATCACATCTCAACAAAGGAATATAACCTATCCATAGTCACTTGGAGATTCAAATGATCTTAGCCACATTCACCAAAAAGAAAATCTCAGGATGGTAATTGGATGCTCACCTATTTGCTGTGACTAGCAACACAAGGACACACCCCCGACATGAATGCTATTATTCCTGATCACATCGAAATGAAGAAAGACAACCACCACTGACTTATCAACTCTCTTAGCCAACTCCGCTAATAGTCTTATGGATGCCGCCCATAATAGAGACTGCTATCGAAAGCTCAAGCCCATGAATGACAAGGATATGCTTGGGATCAGAAAAGTATCGTGCCTACTATCACAACCAAAAAAATGATACAGTGGATTTTCGACACCTTCAGGCTCTAATATAAGAGTTGAGCTAAGCCGGAAAGCTGAAGGAATTCATCATAACCGGGCAACCAATCAACGTCCATGCAAGGCTTCAACGACAGAAGGGCAAGATGGCCTAGCCAGGGCTCATGCCATCCACATCACAAGGGTACTCCCTGCCATCTTGAGAGGAGATATGATATAAGCCTCTTGACAAACAAGTTTAAAAAGATTTTAATCATGTGCGCCATATGTGACGGCCTCAATCTTGCAACTAATTCGAGAACATCTGCCCATCATGTTTATTGTTGAAGATCTACCTCCTAAAGGAAACCCTTACAACGATGTAATTGCTATCACATCCCTCATCAAAAACTTAATAAGGGGCATGGTACTTCATGAAGGAGCTATCCTTGGAGGGGATGTGGTGGAATTATAATTTATTAATCAAGTCCAGTTAATAAAAAATTTATCTTGCATGAGAAATGTCAAATAATATAATAAATTATTATTAAGCTATTGAAAGATTATTGGATCAATATAAAATAATTTAAGTCAACGTTGGATCCTTGATAACTAAAAAAAATAATAGGCTAGTAACAAAGACTAATGATATATAAAATTTATATTAATATTAACTAAGCTGGATGTATAATATGCTATTTCTCTTCCCGATTACCGAACATGGGTTGTTAAGTATTATGTTTGTTATGTCATCAACAAATTATTATCATGTCAAGAATATCGAGACACACATGAATCTCGAAATATTTTTTTTGATAAAAAATATTCAAACTCTAATAAAAGATTATCCAAAACTCTAATTTTAACAAATTTATAATCAAATTGACCGGCTAAATGAGAAGAACACAGTGACATCAAAATTTGTCCAATAAAAGAAATCAAGACCATAATGAGTCGTTAAGTCATTTTTGAAAGCTGCTACCACAAGAGTGAAAGGTCAAATATATTTCAAATAATATAAGCCTAAATTCAAATCAAGCGTCTCGATAAGATAAATCCAATGAGCCTAATATTACTCAATCTGACATGTTTATAGTCAAATGTTCACAAAATACTATGCAATCGAGGGAAGCTCTTCGAACCTTTTATGGAGCGGCCTAAATTTCTTTCTTATTTGTAGGGATACCTCCCCCAAACTTTATAAATAAAGCTCCATCTCCTTCTTTAAGTGGGACCTAGATCCTAAATCGGAGGAAGCTCAAAGCTTAGAAGAAATGAACAGAGATCCAGGTTCTACATCGGAGGTCCAACGAACTCCAGCTGGTCATGCAACCACTCCAACTGCTCTTGTAACCCCTAACCATTGTCAACCACCGCTCGTGGGCCTCCATCAACCACCGTTTGACGCCCCTCATCGTTGCAACAAAATCTCTTATGAAATCACAACATATGTTATGAATGTCGACGTAATTTGTGAGTAACAAAGCACCATACGGAGCAGTGCGCATCCTGAATAATGTATAGTGACTCACCTCAAAGATGATGTACTAAACTTCCAGTAACTGCACCCAACTGTAATCATTCTTAGTTGTTGTGTAAAAAAAATTGTACCTCAAAAAACTATGTAGTCATTTCTCACCTATAAGACAAGAACCTGTACATGTACTCACAAAATCATAGTGGATTGCTCTGCTTTGGTTAGACACCGTGGTATTTTTCCTTTTTAAGTTTTCCATGTGAAAACTCCTTGTGACTCTACCTGTTATTTTAAATACTTGAGTGTGTATTGGATTTTTGTTTAACACATAATAATCACACAAATGCCATGAATTTTTCGGCCATCTGAGGGAATAGTCAACCCACAACCGAATGACTTGAAACAATTATCGAATCTCCAATTGACATAATACTCACAACAATGAAGCATTCCGCTCTAGCACTGACCATTCTAGGGGACAGTCACAGAGCTAAGGATGTCAAGTCTCCGTTAATTTTCACCCTTGAGGGCGTTATTTTGTTAGCGAAGGTGCCTCGAGACCCTCTCTAGAGGATCAAGCGCGTAAGATGGAGGAGTCACATAATGAGATTCGTCAGCTCCTATATGAGGCTTGACATCAGATGCCCACAAAACCAGTTCAACAACCGATGGAAAGTGCCTTGCTTGAGTGCACTCATATCGGGCTCTTTCGCTACAATACAACCAAGGGTGTAAGTGAGTCAAGCTAAATCACGAGCCGGCTCGAGCTCAGATTGATAAGTTGCTCATGAACTAGGCTCAAGGAGCTAACAAGCTTAGCTCAAGCTACCCCGACTTGACTCATTGCTCGTGAGCCAATTCGTTTAAAAAATATTAATATAAAATATACTAAAAAATATTAAATTTGATGATCATTAAAGTATCAAATATATTTAAATTGAGTCAAATCTTATATAACACTAAGATGCTAAATAATCATTCTACCAGACGTTCTGACATGCATCACTAACAAATCTCTCTCTTATCTATAAATAAGGTTATTTTAAAATTTAGAAAAATGAATTTTTTTAATTAACAAAACATAAAAAACACGTTATATACACTTAAAAATTAATGTTTTTTAAAACACAAAATAGTGCTCAAATTAAATTTAAACGTGCTCGTAAGGTATTTAGACTCACAAAAAATGACAACACATAACAAACTGAACAAAGAAAAATACCCACAAATCAGTTTCTAAAAATAAAAAAAAACACATATAATTCAGTCCATCGTCCGAATTCGTTAAAACATATAACTGTCTAGATTCAGTCCGAAACGCACGTGAGCAAACGTACATCGAACCTGGACGCATCTACCAGATTCAGGTTATCAAGACGCATTAAGCTAACCATCAGCAGTTAATTCCCTTGAAATCCTCCATGACCCGTTTGGCGACATCACTCCCTGCGCGCGAATCACGTGCACGTACCTGGACGCCGTCGGGAGCCGTGTGGGGCTCCCGAAATCCTCTTCGCCGTAAGTTTTTGAAACGCGTCATCATCCCACATTCCAAATTAAGAAGATCGGACGGCTTGGAATTTATCACAATATAGCATAAAAAAATTAAAAGTCGATTGAATATTTAAGTTTATTTAAAAAAATTTTAAAAACTATTATGATATAATTAATTAACTATTATATTAAAATTATTAAAATATTATTACTAAATTATATTAAAGGTGATAATATTTTTAATATGTCATATAAAATAAAGAATTCAATAAAAATTTAGAAGTGATAAAGGGGACATATGGATAAATATAGCATAGTCTGCAAATAAAAAAATAAATATAAGGAAATAACTTCCGAGGTTCCATCTACAAATTAACAATTCAAGTAGGGGCAGACTGAAAGTTCTTATCTTCAACAATGGCCTTCGGTTATAAAAGATGCCAGAAACCAAGTCGAGAAAGAAAATGAAAAGAATAGAGACATGGAAGCAACGGTAATGGCGACGAGATACAAGAGGGCAATGGCTCCGCTGGACGCGAAGGCTCGAGCGAGGCTGTGGGAAGGTGGCAGACCACCAACCGCGGCCGCGATGGCCGTCAGTTGCCGGGATTCGACAGGGAAATTGGAGCAATTGGTGCACGCCTTCTATGAGGCTTACCACACAGGAGATAGAGTTGAGGAGGAGGAGGAGGAGGAGGAGGAGAGATTGCCGGCAAAATGGCGGCAAGCGCTCGAGGCGGAGCTGAAGGATGCTGCGGTGGAGCCAGCCGTGGAGTGGATTAGGAATAAAGCGGAGGTTGCAGTTGGAGCTGCCGGTTTGGAATGCGATGAGGTTGTTAGGCGAAGGTTGGTTCGCTGGATGCAGGATGGAGGATTGGATGCCGGTAAGTGGTGGTATTTTATTTGATTGGGTCAGTTTGGGGAGGCTTGTTAGGCGAGGTGATCTTTTGAAAACGCACCTGATCTGTTTGGATAAACTGAATTTTATCAGCTTATGTTTTTTCAAAACACTGAAATTAACGGGATGCAGGATGGAGGATTGGATGCCGGTAAGTGGTCGTATTTTATTTGATTGGGTCCGTTTGGGGCGGCTTGTTAGGTGTGGTGGTCTTTTAAGTAACAATCACTTAGTTTATTAGCAGATTATTTTAATCAATAAGCTACAACTACCCCAAATATACATTTAATCATGACTGAATGACTTAATTAATGAACGTTCTATACAGGAATTTGCAAGTCGCGGTGGTACAACCCCTCCGGCATCCCGGCGGGCTGCCACGAATACATCGACGCGGTGGTCGGCGACACGCGTTACATCGTGGAGATAAACCTCGCCGGAGAATTCAAGATCGCGAGGCCATCGGAAGACTACAAGGAGCTTCACAGCTACCTTCCGAGGGTATTCGTCGGTAGCCCGACGACGCTGCAGGCGGTGATCGGGCTGATGTGTCTGGCGGCACAAGAGTCGATCAAGAAAGCCGGCATGCACGTGCCGCCGTGGCGGCGAAGGAAATACATGAACCAAAAATGGTTCGGCGATTACGAGCGATATACGGATAATCATTCGTCTTCGCCGGAGTTGATAAGTAGGACGGGACTTAAAGCTCACAACGCCGGCCGGCGCTGCAGGGCGGGGAGTGGGGGAACGGCGGGTGATGGCAAACTGGTAAATCGAATATTCCTGAGGGGATGATCATCGTTTTAAAAGTCTCTGTAGCTGTACATATAGAGAAGATTGAGGTCAGGACTGTAGAATTGGGAGGATGGGAAGAAACATTTTTTGAATTTTTTGTTTGGATAAAATGCGATATGGATATTGGCCGTTGAATTTGAGGTGTGGATAAGTTTGACTTTTTAAGACTGGGGAGTGCAGGGCATATCCTGAGGGAAATGCACGTGATTGCTGTTTTGTTTTCATTGTAGGAAAATCAGATGACAAAGAGATAATTATGATTGAATGATTGGGTATAAGATAAAGTATTGATTGGCTAATGATTATATGTCGCTTGGGGTGGGTGTGGATTGGATGCGTTATGGAGTCATTTAGTTACATGCCATGAATTATATATTTAAGCATCTAACATGTATATTTTTATATTTATATGTATGATATTGAAATCTTTAATATCACAACAAAATTGTTATTATTATTATATTTTTGAAAAATAAGTGTTATGATGTAGATATTAAATATTAGAGTTAGATATGCAAATACATGAAACTAATATGTGGTGTGTTGTAAATTATCCTGTGGTGTGTTGTAAATTATCCTTTTTTTTTTTTGGACTAAGACAATTGGGTTATTTGGATTAGATGAAAGTATGGTGTACATGAAATCATTTGCTTGTTTGAATTTGTAGGACATTAGTTGGGAATAAAATATGGGTCTTAAAGAGTATTTGTTTTGGACAAAATATTTATTTTTCACATGGAAATATATTATTATATGATTTTTTTAGTGAACGGCTAAAAAAAAACTTAAAATTGATTAAAATTCTTGCCTAGCTCGAGCTGATGAACCCATTAGTAGTACCTATCTCACATGAATAAGGAATTCACATGTGATTTTCATATTTGTGAGCTGTCATTTTTGCGGGTAAGACGATCGCCCGAATCTGTCACTTAGAAATTCTTTATTTTATTTCCAACCAATGTGATATGTATTCGAGCATTGTGACCTGTCACTTGCTAAAAACACCAAAGGACATAAATTAGAAATTTGTTATTTTCTTCTTTTTCTCCAATCACTTAAGCAGCATGAGCTGTCTTTTTCAAATATTTTCCAACATTTCAAGCTCCTTTGTCAACGCCTAGTGAATCTCCACATTCAATGTTCTTTTTTCTAGTAAAAAAATTAAGGTTTGAAGAGATTTCTAAAGAGAACAACTGAGTTCGATTAGTCGTACGCACAAGACCTTACATTCTCTATAAATTCCTTTAGATAGATTATTAATTTGACAAGTTGTTTTTTATTTTAATTCCCTTACTATTCATAGAGGTATATTGGTTATGCTAAGTTTGCATTTTCTGTTCTTTAGAGGGCTAGTACATTACAACTCCACATTTGTGTAATTAAAGTAAATCTTATGATGGCACACAATTGCAACAGATGTGTATCTTAATTTTTCACATATATGTATATTCAAGTTTTATTAAAAAATGTAACAACTTATTACTATTACATAGATATAAGAAATGCAGAGGAATGCAATATTATTTCTTTGTGTAACTTTCTAATGGTTTGTCTTGCGACCTTCCAATGAACAGTCTATTACATTCATTCTTCCCTTTTATATGGAAGAGTTTTGCCCATAAAATATCCAAGGGTCATAATTACATTTTAGAACTCAAAAAATTTTTTTGATATATCCTCTTTCATTTTTTTTTTGCGAGGATAATATAATTAATATTATCCTGATAAGTCATATTTTGGAAATCATTCCCGTCAGCTAACTAGGCCAATAGGAGAATTCTCTTAGGAGAGTTATTTTTATTGGAGAACTGTTCTAGAGAGTTCTCCCATGAGAGCTGTAATGGTAGAGATCTCCTGAACGAGTTTAGTTGTCAGGCGAAATCAACTATTATTTTAGACACATTTAGCTCATGGAAAAAATTAGTTGTTTTCTTAGAAATTTCAGCTCCTGAATGAATTGAGTTGTTTTCTTGGACAAATTCAACTCTTCAATGAATTAAGTTGTTTTCAGGGACAAGTTCAGCTCCTGGACTAATTGAGCTATTTTTCCAAATGAATTTAGCTCCTTGATAAGTTGAAATATTTTCTCGGATGAATTGAGTTGTTTTCTTGGATGAATTCAACTCTTGGATGAAATTGAGCTGTTTTCATGGACAAGTTCAACTTCTGGACCAACTGAGCCATTTTTCCAGATGAATTTAGCTCCTGGATGAACTGAGATATTTTCTTGGTTGAATTGAACTATTTTCTTGGACGAATTCAACTTCTAGATGAATTAAGTTGTTTTCATGAACAAGTTCAGCTCTTGGATTGACTGAGCTAATTTTTCGGATAACTTTCACTCTTGGATGAATTGAGTTGTTTTCTTGGACGATTTCAACTGCTGAACAAACTGAGTATTTTTTTTTTTTTTTTGGATAATTTCAGTTGCTCTTGGATGAATTGAGCCATTTTCTTGAACGAGTTACTAAATTAAGCTTCTTACTTTTGGATTAATTCAGCTCTTGGACGAATTGAGCTATTTTCTTGGACAAGTGCAGCTGCTCTTTTAATGAGTTCAACTCAACAAATTCAGTATATCTTATAGACAAACTCAACTATTGAGGATTCTTTGATTTTGACCTTACAATATTTAGATATTCTATTTGTGGCATATACCTATTTACTTACCTTCCCCTATGTACTTCCTATTTATGGAGATTTTTCTGAGAACATGATTATGTGCTTCAAAATTGTGAAAATTCATAATAAATCAATAACTACATACCCATGTTCTTCATACTTAGAATGAGGTTTTCTTTTATTATAAAACTATGACTTTCAAATTTAACGTTGAAACTTTTACTAAAACTACCATCATACATTCAAGTCATATATATAGTGCTATTCCTCAACTTTAAAGACAGGTGTTTCAGTGTTAAGTTAAACTTCCTAACAAATCAAAAGTACATTACTTAATACTTTTGGTGCTTCTTTCATTACAAAGCCTTATACTTTTGGTGCTTCTTTCATTACAAAGCCTTATACTTTTGGTGCTTCTTTCATTACAAAGCCTTATACTTTTGGTGCTTCTTTCATTACAAAGCCTTGTACTTCAACTATTTTGTTAAAGCTAACAACATCACTCGTAAGAAGCTACGTATCTCATCATGATGGGGCTTTCTCTGAAGAACATTATTAGATATCTCGAATATTATGTTAACATTCTTGATAATAAGTACACACCTAAACACTTGATATTTTGAAGCTTCTTTTCATTATAAAGTCATGTATTTCATATTTGATGTTGAGATTCTTATTGAAACGAGTATAAAAAAAGTATATATGTAATATTTATGGGATTTTCTAAGTAGCAAAGAGTTATATAGCTCAAGTGTTATACTGAAATTGTGGATAAATTATAAAATGCACGCCAAAGTATCAACTCTTTGATGCTTTTTTCTTAGTAGCAATTCTCAAATAGTATTTATTTTTAAAAAAAAATTACATCATAGTGCACACACAATTTCAAAAAAAACTTTTAAATATTACAGAGTGATAATGACCACAAGAATTTTAAAAATATTTAGGGTCAATTCTTTGTCAAAAAATGAATAATTCATCAAAGTAATTGTGTCAACACTCCACAACAAAATAATTTGATTGAAAGAAAAAACAAGCACTTATAGGAGGTTGCTGGGGCTTTGCTATTCACCAATAAGGTGCCTAAATCTCTTTCGGGTGAAATTGTTCTTAATTGCTACATTTCTCATAAATAACACACCCAATAAAATTTTAAACTTTGAAACACTTTGATTTTTTCCAAAAAAAAAAAAATCCAAAGAATAGTCTCTCATATTCTCTACCTCTAAAGATATTTGAATGTACTACTTTTGTTCACCTTCATAATCAAGATAAATTTGAACTTCGAGCCAAAAAAGTGTGTTTGTTGGTTCTACTCTACCCACAAGGGGTAAAATGCTTTGATCAAAATTCTAAAAAAATATTTATCATCATGGATGTCATTTTTTTTGAATTACAATTACTTTTCTCACCTCATCTTAACGGGAGAACAAAGTAAAGATTTGTCTACTAATTTTTAGGATTTTCTTCAAGCCGAAGTCTCCCAAAATAGTATATAACCTTGATTGTTCAATCAAAAAACCTAATTAATTTCATATTAGTAGAGAATGTTTCGAGCCTTTAAGACATTGAAGTTCTTACAATATCATCTCATGATTAGGGGTATAAACAAGTCAAATCAAGTTCGAGCAACCATCAGCTTGAGCTTGAGTTTTGACTAATTTTATCGAGTTTAAGCTTAAATTTACAAGTTCGAATTGCCTCACGAGCTAATTTGTTATTATAAAAGAGAGAAAATAATATTAATATAAGGTTGTGTTATAATAAAATAACAAATAAAATGAACAAGTAGGAAGAAATAATAATAAATTACTTAATATAAAATATAAAATATATTTTTTAACATTTTTTATACTTTAAAATAATATTTAATTTAATACATTTTGAGTATATTTTACACGAGCCGACTCACGAGCCACCTATCGAGTCAAGCTTGATTCAAATCTCGATTCGGCTACTTACACCCATACTCATGATGTTCATAATAAAGAAGAAATAAGAAAAAGAAATACGACAGTGGTACCATTAGATATTGTTCACTCACAGTGGAGGACAACTCAAAAGAAAGGGCTAACAAATTATTGCACTACCTAGAATCCACAAACCCAAATAATGTTCTCACTAATCTTTTATCCCATGTTCAATCAACTTCATCTTCGAGTTCTGAGTTTTCTAGCCCTGAATTTGAGCCTAGTTTGAATCTTGAGTCTAATGAGTCTAGCCTTTCTACTGGGGGAAAGGTCCTGTACGTAACATCCATTGTCCCATTAAGTGTCATATGAAAACCTCTGGCCCACTTTCTATGCAATTACCTCACAATTATCACATATGGAGATTATTGGTACTGTGCAAGATGCTCTAAAAATCCTCAAGTGGAAGGAGGTCATTTTCGAGGAGATGAAAGTTCTGGAAAAAAATCACATGTAGGAATTTGTTGATCTACCAAGAGGAAAGACAATTGTCGAGTGCAAATGGATGTTTAAAATCAAGTATAATTCTGATGGCTCTCTATTATAGTATAAGGCACAATTGGTTTCTAAGGTATTTCCCCTTGACTTATAGCATTGCTTATTTAGAGAAATTCACTAGAGTCGCAAAAGTAAGCTCTGTAAGGATTCTTTTGTCACTTGCAACTTATCTAACTTGCCTCTACAACAACTGGAAATAAAAAATGCCTTCCTTATTGGTGAC